CCTGCTTGCTGTAATAGACTTATTCCCAAAGTAATCTCCTGAACATGCTCCCAAAAGTGACAAATAAGTCGAATATTGCTCGATCAAAAAACTGACGATTAGACTGAACTAGTAAGGAGAACAAGCAAGCAGCCAGCTTCAGTAGCGTTGCGAAGTACAACTGAAAGGTGGACCCTCTGATCAGGGAATTTATACATCTACTAATGGGACGCTTGCGTCGATAATAACCTAAGACTCTTATCGGGATTAACATCTACCTGTAAGCTCACTCTGGCCTACTTAAGCGAGAAACCATTACGAGACGTCAAACAAATTATCTTGAGTGGGTCAGACACATGCCCACTCGCGCAAGGAGTTTTCCAGATACAGTTGAAGGCAGTTTATGGGAATTCGGAGTGGTATATAATTGTCGGTGAAATTTAGAGACAAGGCAGATCCAGTAAGATAACATCTCAACACTTCTACACTGCAAAAAACATAACCACTTCTGTAGTGAGGAAGCCAGTTTATTACTGTAGCAGTTTGTCCTAGGTACGGTCAAAAATCATGACACATCCTGCAAAAGTGCTTTGTTCTGCTCCTCCCCACTACCTCTTCCCCCGGGAATTGACGTCCTACCCTATTCTAGATAAATTGCAATGAAGCAATTAATCGCTTTCAGATCTTTTTCCAAGTGAAATAGCTATATCCTGCAGAAGTGCCCTTCATGGGCGAGCTTTTGAGTGTGCGGGTCAGTATGTACCGTTGCGACCTTCCCATGGAACCCCGTGGAACTGTGCCGCTGCGACCTCTCACCTTCGTAGGTGCCTGATCGCTTTGGTTTCTATGGAAGTGAAAGGAAGATTCGACAACAGAAACAGAGCTGTATAGATGTGTCCGATGACCTAGATCGAGATGGCGCATCTTGACCCACAAGCGAATTTTTCGAGGGTTTCTCAGAGAATTCAAAGTTTTTCTCTTTATGTTCACAAGACAGTTAAGGATACATAGTAAATGTTAAGAATAAGTGGGTGCCTGAAGAGCGGGGCAAAATAGAACTGAGCTGCTCAGGGAAATTAGGAATAAGCGTAACCATGGCAGCTGCTGACATTGCGGCATTCCTGGCTTGCACATATGGCTAAGAGAAGCCCACTAATAAAATTTGCAGGTGTGGTGTCGTAAAACGCAAAGGCATTTCGAAACGTCTTAAATTCGAAATGTCTCCGATGTACCTCAAAACAAAGCTCTTCGTTCGCTATTCGAATCAAAGATCGATGGGCGAAAGAAAATTGACGGATTTCGTCAATTTTT